GAAGAAGAAGAAGAAGGTTGGCGAGGAAGGAGACCCGGCAACCATAGCTGACCGGAGGGTTGACCGAGAGGGTTGACCAGAGGCGTTGACGACGTTGACCGGAGTTGATCGAGGGTGGACCAAGGGTCATAGCAGCGTTGACCGGCGTTGACCAAGGCATTGACCAAGACTTTGACCAAGCTGGAGTTGGTAACATCTCGTCAAGCCTTCAGCCTATCCCTTGCCCTGTGGATGTGCACACACCCCTTGGTACTTGCTGAGTCAAGTCAGTCTGTCTATTCTTTCTGCATTGAGTCTCTTCTGTCCTAGGTCATAGTACTCTGTGGATGAAGGATAGGGTTTGGATGACGAAACCCTAGTCTGACCTTGTAAGGCTAAGACTGTGGCTGATCCAACTTTTCAGGGGGGCATAATCCTCCCAAGGACCGGTGCTGACCAGCTGGAAACGGTTGGTAGGACTCAGTGGGCCTGAACGGCAGTTAGGGTTGACACACCAGGCAGTCTTTAAGTGTTGAGGGCCTGTTTGAACCACTCCCCTACTAGACCAAGTAAGGCTGATGATCTGTGTCTGACGACTCGACTGTCCCGGGGGATACGAACCCTCCCAAGGACCGGTACAGACCGGCGGGCTGCTCGGTGTGGCACAGTAGGCCGGAAAGGYTGAGTTGTGGGTTGAAAGCATAGGCAGAACCAAGCTGATCACGTCGTCCTGTCTGCGACGTTAAAGAATTCTTGAGGAGTTACGGGGGATCTCCTTAAATGCCTCCTGATCAACCACTGGTTCAGTAGTGACAGCCATAGCATAGGTCTAGGCTAGAGACCATAGTTGACAAGGTTCTTGTCAGGATTCTCTAAGTCTTAGATTGAGTCTATAGGTTTGTCAGTCAAGGGTCAGAGTCTACGTGGTGAGGTCTGGAACCACTAACCCAGTTGTACACTTATCACCATGGTTGGGACCCGTAGTGGGTTAGAGACTAGCCCCTATAGTAAGGAGCAGCAAGAAAAGATGGTCGCCTTAGTCMAAGWGAACAGGGAGAGAAAAGAGCGTGAGAAGCAAGCGAAGCTAAAGGCTATCGCAGACGAGCAGGCGGCGAAGATGAAGAGATTGGAGGAGGAGATGAAGAAAGTACAACAAGAGGAGGAAGAAAGAAGAAAAGTTGTTGAAGCAGAAGCGGCAGCAGAAGAAGAGAAAAAGAGAATGAGGATTGAGAGTGGAGAAGAAAGCAGCGGTGGCACGATGAAGAGGGAGACAGATATTGAGATGGAGAACAAGATCAGCGAGTGGGTCGCTAATTTATCGTTGGGTGAAGAGGAGGAGCCAGAGTCCTATGTGACTGAGGATGAGAGGGCTGCGCTAGCCAATGAGCTAGCGACAATGACAGATCCGATGGAAAGGCAAGAAAGGGAGGAGGAGCAGAAACTGGCATGGAAGTTGAGGATGAAGCGAGAGAAGAAGAGGAGGAGAGAGGAAGTGAGTAAAATGACTGCAGAGGTAGCGAAGGTGCAAGCGTGCAGGCAGGAGGTGTTGGCCCAGCCAGATGATAAGGCCAAGTAGGACAAGGTACTGGGGTACCTGGAAGTGTTGAGCAAGGCCTGGATGGAAGAGCCTCAGGCTAGCTGGAGCCAAGATGTAGCCTTGAGTGCCATGCGATCAGGGTTTAGAGACTTTGCGCGCAAGATCGTCACCCATATTGGGGGCGAAGTTAAGCAATTGAGAGACAATGTAGGGAAGTTTTCTGAGGGCGCCATTCAGGGTGCCAAAGCTGTAGCCGCTGTAGAGGGAGAGGCCAGACCCCGTAAGGACCCAATGAAATTTAAGTTCCCAGATGCGTACGGGGGAAAGAAGGAAGAAAACTTTGACAACTGGGAAGCCAGTGTCAATAGTTATATTTACTTACAGCACATCCTGATTGAGGAACAAGTCCTCGTGGCCTTCCAGGCCCTCAAAGATGAAGCGGCTAGTTTCGCCAGGTCTCTTGCGCGTACAGCCGGTTGTGAAAACAACCTGGTTGCATATTCCAAAGTCACCTCTCTTTCCCAATTCCTCAAGCTCCTCAAGGAGCGTTTCGCTGACCCAACGCGAGGCATTAGAGCCTCTGCAAGCTGCAAATGATCCACTCACGGCAGTGGAGGAGTGTCAGGGCACTCAAGGGTACCATGAACGACTTAGTGACTATCCCGGACCATGGGGTCACTGAGACCAAGTTGGTCCAATTGTTTTATCGTGCCATACCAGAGGCCCTGCGCGGGCATTTTTTTGACAAATCTCAACAGGCCGGCATCACATATGATGCATTCAGTAGGGAAGTCGTCCTGTATGAGTCAAAATCTATGCCAGTTACCACCTTCTGGCACAAAGACTTGGAGAAGGGAAAGGGGTGGAAAGGGCGTACCATCTCTGGCCAAGTCAAGGCCAAGGATCATATGATCCTTACCTTAGAGGAAGGTGGTACAGACGAGGTTCCGTATAGTCAGATCGAGTGGGGCCTCGAGGATGATGGCAGTAGTGTGGGGCAAGGGAGGTCCTATGCTGCTGTCGCGGCTGGAGGGAAGCCGCAAGGTAGAGGAGGAGGCCAGGGCCAAAGGGGCCAGGCCATGGGAGGCAGTGGGCCGGCCGCACAGGGGGTTGGCGGCCAAGGAAACTGCCAAGCGGGAGGTAGGGGTCAAGGTCCCCCGTTAAATTGCCAGGGTAATGGGTCCCCACAGCGAGGAGGTAGAAGAGCACCTCAAGGAGGATGGCACCCAGGCTTGTCGCAGGGCAGGCCCTGGGAAAACTTGGGCTTGGACCAGCGATTGTGGCAGGAATGCGTGAACATGGGTCAGTGCGTATTTTGTGGTGACCCGGCGCACGTAATTAAATTTTGTCCAAAGTATAGACAGGCCCGTTGGGCTGCTCAGTCGTCAAAAGGCAGCCGCCAGTAGGGGTCGCAACTGGCCCTACTTCCAGGTCATGTGGAGAAGTGAGCGCGCGCGAACAGGACACTCCCAACCCACATGAGCCTATGGCAGAGGTTTCAGGCCCGTGCCTAGATAGTTGTCCAGAGACCGCTTGTGTTAGCGTCTCTTTAGGCACGTCCCTCACAGGTGTGGCAGAAGAGTTAAAGGAGAGGATGTCAGCCTGGGCCAAAATGAAAAGGGAGAGTAAGGGACAGCTGATTTTGGTAGATGTAGAGGTATTTAGAAGTAGAGTAGGGGCCCTTATAGACTCAGGGGCTACCCGTAGTTACATTAGCCATAGGGCGCTGAAGAAGCTGAGGCTAGGACTAAAAGTCCAGAAGTTAGTAGACCCCATAGTTAGTGTCCTCGCAGACAACCGCACGATGCGAGTTGACGACTACGTAGAGGGAGTCCAGGCGTACTTTCGCCTAGAGAAGAATGGAAAAGTGGAGAAAGTCCTCCATTCTTTGACTCTCCTCGTGCAGGATGACCTTCCTTTTGATATAGTTTTAGGAATGGATTGGGGAGAGGCAGCCGGGGCCACACTCCATTTGAGAGAGCATGAGCGTAGGCTCCCTAATCCGTCAGACGAGGTTAAGACTGCCCGCTTGTTCCATGTGTCTGGGGTGGATAACACCTTGGCACATTGTTGACTCAGTGCTCCCGCGTTCGCGCGATTAGTCAAAAAGGAGCAGTTAGAGGAACAGGTCCTTGTAGTTTATGTTAGACCTGTCACTGAGGCCCAGGAAAAGGATAGTTCCACAGATCCAACAATTGCCAAGCTACTGGAAGAGTTCAAAAATTTGACTGAGTTGCCGACAGGAGTAGTGTCGCGACCTATCCAGCACAGGATAGAGGTAGAGCCTGGCAGTCTACAGGATGTCCCCTAGAGAGTTAGAGGAGCTTCGCAAGTAGTTAGATGAACTCCTTGAGAAGGGTTGGATCAGGCCCAGTTCGTCTCCTTTTGGAGCACCCGTTTTGTTTGTCCCAAAGAAGGAAGGAGAGTTGAGAATGTGTATAGACTATAGGGGTTTGAATGCGATTACTGTAAAGAATGTTGAGCCAATACCCAGGATAGACGATCTCTTAGATAGGGTGTAGGGTTGCAAGTATTTCTCCAAAATAGACTTGAAGTCCGGATACCATCAGATAGAAGTCCATCCATCCTGATGACCAGTACAAGACTGCGTTCCGGAGTAAATACGGGCACTATGAGTTCATAGTGATACCCTTTGGACTAACCAATGCGCCAGCTACCTTCCAGAGTTGTATGAACGACCTGTGTAGACCGTGGTTAGATAAGTTTGTAGCAGTCTATCTTGATGATATCCTAGTTTTTAGCAAGACCCTACAGGAGCACCCGGGTCATCTGAGGCAGGCTTGGAGAAGCTACGAGAGGCTAACTTCAAGATCAACGCAAAGAAGTGTAAGTGGGCCAAGACACAAGTTTTATACTTGGGCCACGTGTTGGACGGAGATGGCATTAAGCCAGAGGACAGCAAGATAGTGGCAATTAGAGACTGGCCGACGCCCCACACATTGACAGAGTTGCGGTCGTTCCTAGGCTTAGCTAACTACTATAGGAAGTTCGTGAGGAACTTCTCCACTATCGCCACCCCCTTGCGCAGACTGCTAAAGAAAGAGGCAATCTGGCAATGAGACAAAGACTGTACGTCTGCGCTCAAGAAGTTAAAACGCACGTTAATAAAATATTTTGTCCTCAAAGTAGCAGATCCGTCCTTGCCATTTGTCGTTACCACGGACGCAAGTCAGTATGGGATAGGCGCCGTGTTGCAGCAAGACGACGGCAATGACTATAGACCCGTAGAGTTCATGTCAGCGGGGATGCCCTGTGAGAAGGTCGCTACCTCCACGTACGAGAGAGAACTCTACGCTCTCAGGCAGGTTTTAGACCATTGGAAGCACTATCTGCTTGGGAGGCACTTCAAAGTGTATTCTGACCATGAGACACTTCGTTGGCTAAAGACACAGGCCAAGATGACACCTAAGTTGACTAGGTGGGCCGTAGAGATAGACCAATTCGACTTTGAGCGCAAGCCAGTAAAGGGCAAATACAACGTAGTTGCGGATGCTCTGAGTAGGAGATCAGACTACTTTGGAGCCGTAGTACACTATCTGGATATAGGGAGAGACCTGCAGGAGAAAGTGAGGCAAGCATATGCGAAGGACTGAACCGGGATCGGATTCACAGATTACGGCCCGGTACCAGGGAGTTTGCGATACAGCACGAGAAAGAACTAGCCACTGTTGTTGAAAACCTCAGGAAGGCCCAGCATAGGATGATAGAGCAAGCTAATAAGCACCGCCACCCGTCGTAGTTTCATGTAGGCGACTTAGTCTGGGTCAAGGCTAAAGAGTTTGCACCTGAGGAAAACATCTCGCAGAAGTTACTGGCCGCATATAGAGGACTGTGGCCGGTTCTAGAAGTCAAGGGCAGAGAGGATGGACCGTCCTATAGCATTGAGATTCCAGCACACCTCCACACATACCCCATGTTTCATGCTTCAAAGCTGCTACCGTGTGTCACAAGTCAACCGTTCACTTCGAGAAGATCCATGATCCCCCCAGATATGGATGGAAGTTATGACATTGAAGGCATTGTAGATGAGCTTGTGTTCAGAACAGGAGGTAGAGGTCGTCCCCAGAAACAATATAAGGTCCGTTTTGCCTTTCAGGAACCGGAAGACGACCGCTGGTTCACGAAAACAGAACTTCTAGAAACCGCTCCCGACATAGTCAGAGCCTATGAACGTGACAAGAAAGGTAAAGGTCCCGCCTTGGACTGAAATGTTCTCAGAGGACCTCGAATTTAGGACGGCGGGAGTGAAACGGTTTTCACCTTTTAGCAGTAGCGGATGCAGTACCCAGGGTTCGATCCCTAGACCTCACCCTACCTATGTACAGTATCTGTATAGATCCCGAGAATTGAACCTGTGACCTGTGTATTCGCAGACAGTTGGTAGGTCTGTCGTAGGTGCCTAGGCAGCAGGGGTTCGATTTGTAGGTCTATAGCGTAGAAGTCTTAGTAAGTTCCGGAAGCTTAGCTGTAGACCTTCTAGAAGGTAGGCAAGTGGGCGAGTGGTAAAGCGGTGAGGCAAGTGGTGGACTAAACCGCAGTGCAACAGCAGTACAACGTCGGTAGGATAGCGGTGAGTCCACAGTCAGTCAGCGGAAGGTCCAGTCAGTCCCAGTCCGGTCCAGCAAGTACCACAGGGGGACTGTGAGCACCAAGGAAAGGGCAGACCAACGAGTTTCTGAAGTATAAATCAAAAGGCAACGCCCAACCATTCATTCATTCCTGCGTGAGCCATGCGAAAGCGCTGCCACAGCGATCTGTGCAAGGAGGTCTGCAGATGAGCCCGGAGGACGCAGTGGGCAAAAGAGAGGGAGTTAGCATAGTGATAGGTTAGATGCAGCGATAGCTGCCATAGTTGTAGTTAGTAGCGAGTGTGTGTGTGTGTTCGAGTGTTGGGGTGGTGCGTGTGGGATATCCAGGGTGATCCAGTGTATGTGAACAATGAGATGTTTGGGCGCTGAAGTCGCCATAGCCAATTGAGAGTGAACTCGTATCTGAAAGCCACATCTTTGAGTTTTGAGTGGGCGCATGTCGCCAGTATGCTGCGTCGTTGTTTACATGCATGAAAAGTGTGTTCGAGAACGAGTCTGATTGCAGTTTGAGCAACAAGGTGTTAAATTTGTAAAAGCCCGACCCTCGCGTGACGTGACTATGGAACGATAGTCCCAGGATGATACCCCTATGATCAAACAATCTGCAGCGACTGAGGGTTTTAATTTCCGCTACTGTGGTGAGACCTGTCAGCGCTTGTGATATTAGGAAGAAATCAATTCTTGAGTTGGACAGACCTAC